TAAAACCATCCAGGTGTAACCGAGTCATTTTCTGTCAACGCAGTAGGAGCTGACACACGACACTTCCTCAGCAGACAGACAGGATTTCTGTGTTATATCTTCTACTCTGTGTCTTTGGTAAGGTTCTTTGTTTTGCTTCTTTTTTCGTGTTTCACATGGACAGACTCTTAGGAAATTAGACATAATGCAGATTAGTTGCCTGATCTTCAGTGTAGTTTTCTTTGAATGCTAAAAAAATTTAAAGAAGAGACTTGATGAATAAAGAAAAAAACAATAAAACAATTACAGGAAGTCATGTTAAGAGATAAGATCAGTCGCAGCTCTTGTAGATGACATAAATATTCATTTTAAGGAAAACTAATACCGAATTGATTGCTTCCTATTGAAGACCGATATTACAAACAGAAACAACATCAAAGTAAAACTGGTCAATAAGAGGAATGCATGGAAAGTTCCAAAAGAGACGATGCCGACCACCTTTTACAGTAAAGCGGCTTGGAGATGTATTGTTTTAGTTGGAGAAGTAGATGCAACTAGTTTAACTCGTAGAGCAAGTTTTAGTCTGAAACTAAAACCCCTAAGGCAGAAGTCATACCAAACCCTAATTCAGAAGTTTATTTTCTGATGGCTACACTTTAAAAAAAATGTTTGTACTTAAATGCTTTGAAATATAAGACATTTCTTTAAAATTTGTACTCAATCAGGACAGTACATTAACTATCAGGAGGGACTGACATCAGTCAGACCACAGCTTCTACGTTCATACGCACAAATGAAAGACTTTTCATACTTTATTTAAACAAGTTGGACTCCATTGGATACACGTATCATACTGACGGCTGCATTTGCCTGTTAAGCGACATGTTTCAAATGCTGTTCAAACATTTCAAGCTGCTTGCCAGTAGACTCAAGAGTATTAGCTTGTCCTTTCTACAAAGGCAGGCTCTGGTGATGACTCACCCACTGAAGTGTAAGGAGTTAGTTTTAGAAAACTCCACTCAGACTGAATGTGAAACATCTTTTTAACTGGGAATACATTTGTGAAAGTAATGCCAGGCTGTTTGGATTCCACCCAGTTCATTAACATGAAAGAGCTGCCTTTATTTTATTTTTTTTTTCATTATTAACTGATCATACCACAAAAAGGAACCGCAGTGGTTCTATTGCTACTATTGCAGTTTAAGCATCATCAATGCAAAGACTCAATGGAAGAATATGAAATGTGTCTTGCTTCCCTTTGCATTTTAAGATATTTTTATTTATCATAGTAAAGGGAGGCTAAAAAAAATATTCATGTGGCACATACAGTATATTTTGTTTGAAAAATATCCTTTCTGCTCCATTTCACAATTATCCACAAGGAAAGCCTTAGGGCATAGAAACAGACAAGAGTTTGGTCTTAATTGAAAGAAGTCAGAAGAAAGTCAATGTTTACAAAAAATCTCCTTAATAATTCCCATTTGCCACAACCACAAAACACGGTTGTGGCAACATTATGCGTTGGCCATTGTTTTCTTGAGTGAGGACAAGGAAGAGAAAGGGAGAATAATAACCAGCACCCCATTTATCAGCCAACATGGTTTTGATGAACGTGAATCTGCAATTTTACTGTCAAGCATCCCATATTGGGAAAACAATCTAGTGTGCCAACTGAGGTTAGGATTGTTAGAAATATCTTTATTTGGTTTATAGACATTATCATCCTTGTTTGTAAAGTCTCAACTAAACGTCTATGGAAAAATTGAGATTATTTTATTTGTCAAGCTGAAACATTTCACTTTTGCTTTCTCAGCCTTTAGAATATTAATTCTCTTTTTTTTCCCTCTTCTCAGGTTGAAATCATCAGGACTTTTAACCAACTAGCCTCCTGACAATTTCCAGATTCTCTCCTGAACCCGCTTCCATCCAAACACGCACCGATAAGTGGGAAATCATGAACTGGGGTGCTCTAGAGGTTCTCCTGAGTGGAGTTAACAAATACTCCACTGTGTTTGGCCGGGTCTGGCTTTCTATGGTGTTCGTCTTCCGGGTCTTGGTGTTTGTGGTAGCAGCTCAGCGGGTGTGGGGAGATGAAAGTAAAGACTTTGTCTGCAACACGATCCAGCCAGGCTGCGGCAACGTTTGCTACGACAGTATCTTCCCCATCTCTCACATCCGCCTGTGGGCCCTGCAGCTCATCTTTGTCACCTGCCCATCGCTCATGGTCCTTGGTCACGTCAAGTACAGGGAGAAGAAGGACATGGAGTACACTACCTCCCACAAGGGGAAGCACTTGTATGCCCGTCCTGGAAAGAAACGTGGAGGCCTGTGGTGGACTTACCTGGTAAGAAAGATGGATTTAGCAAAATTTGGTGTCCTTGATTTAACTTTTACATGAACTAGTTGGTCTTAGGAATTCTGGGGAGAAAAAAATCTAAAGTGACACTTATTATTTTTTTTTTTTTTCCAAGTTTGACCCAAATGCATCCCATTTTACAGGTGAGTTTGATCTTCAAGGCGGGCTTCGATGCTGGCTTCCTCTATGTCCTGCATTACATCTACAAGGGTTACGACATGCCCCGCCTGATTAAGTGCCAACTGCAGCCTTGCCCCAACACAGTGGATTGCTACATATCCCGGCCCACAGAGAAAAAGATCTTCACGCTCTTCATGGTGGTCTCCTCTGCTGTCTGCATCTTAATGTGCATCTGTGAAATGATTTACCTCATCTTCAAACGTATCAAAAAACTCATTCTAAGAAAGAAGGATCAGGAGATTGAGAGGTTCGTCGAAAGTCACGAAATGGCCCCTCTCTCACATCCAAGGTCGATGTACAGATCTAAATCCTCAGTAAGAGTGGATCCCACAGTATCTCTTCAGAACCTCAACAACATCAAGGCTGAAGAAAAGCCTCTTAAGCAAGTGGAGGAAAGCTAGAAGTAAACTGTCCAGAGTGCTTTTGTCAAACTCCATGGAGAGAGGGAGTTCTCCACGAAAGAAACGCCAGTTGCTTTAAGCAATCTTTTAATGTGGATTTGTAAATAATTTAGATGATATTCTGAAGGACACAATGTGCACCTCTTCTCTCTAAACACGAAGGTCTCCAGTGTGAAAGGATTGTGTGTTTGACTAGTCTTATTTGACTGGTTGTTGTGTTGTGATTGTAATTGTATTCTGGTTGCGCTGACTGTAATATATGTGTAAATAACTACAACACAAACAAATAAATGAATGTGGCCACTGATGAGGATCTAAGCATTGGCTACAACTTTAAATAATATTGAACAACGCTAAGCATTTTCTAGTACAACTGAATGACTCGGTTGGATTTGTCTCAGGTAAATAGTCTTATCACAGCCTTTCATTACAACTGCTTGACAATAAAAGTTAATATTTTTCATGTCGCTGAAAAGCTGTGCTTTCATTATAGTGCTTTAACAAAATAGTCAGAAAATAGTTTGAAATGGGAGTAAAGACATATTGAAGATGCTTTGCCTTACATTTTGTATTTATTAATTTTTCCAATAAAGTCGTTTACTGACAAATGAACAGTTTATTGTAGTTTATTCTTTGTGATAAAACTACATATTTCTTTCGAGGAACAGAAAATCATTCCGCATTGTCACAAGGTGACATAGTGAGTGACTCATTTAGTAAGTATTTGGTTGGATGCACAGTAGGGAGTGGCTTGTTGTGGATGGTTTTTTTACTCTCCTTTTTTTTCTGTTCGTCTACATTTTTCATCCAATCAGAAGCTGAGCTCACGTCTGGGGCGTCAGCGTTACAACAAACGGACCAATAACACCCGTGCAAAAGCTGGCCTTGTTTTCCATATTGCGGATGTATTTTTGTAGCAGGAAGTGAAGAGTTGTCAAACAAATAATGAGTTTTCATTACGCACAGTGTAGGTCCTTAATATGAAATATTGTTCAGTGGTCTCAAATCTGATTCACTGGGTGCATTATGGGAAAGAATACAAGGAATAGAAACACTAAAAGAATATTTCCTGGCTTTTGGCTTTTAGAAAAAAAAATGAAACAATGCTGAGACAGCTCATCTTTCATCCCCCCCACCCTATACATTGGCATACATTGCTGGTAATACAAAACAGAAGCTGTAGTATTGGGATTAGATGCAGAAAAAGCTTTTGTCTGTCAGCTGGAATTTCTTATATAAGATGCTACAACAATTCGGTTTTAACACAACATTTATCAAAACTATTCCATCTTTATATTACCAACCCACAGCAATGGTTGGAAATTAATGCAAATCTTTCAAAAGCATTTACATTACAACGAGGGTGCACCAAGGCTGCTCCATTAGCCCACTGTTATGTGGGATATATTTGGAACCTTTAAGCCAATGGGTAAAACAGAACAAAAACATAAAGGGCATACACATGGAGGGAGGGGAACAAAAGATAGAATTATTCGTGGATGATGTTTTGATTTGCCTATTTCAACTAGGCAGATCGCTTTCAGCACTAATCAATACAGTGGATAAGTTTGGTATGATGTCAGGCTACAAATTAAACACAAAGAAAATCCAAGTTTTTTCCTTCAACTATTCACGAGATTAATTAAGCAAATGAGAGAATGGAGATGGGAGTCTGAGTGAGATGCTCCACCCATCCTCGACTTATCCGACAGGTCCACACCTAAAACCATCCAGGTGTAACCGAGTCATTTTCTGTCAACGCAGTAGGAGCTGACACACGACACTTCCTCAGCAGACAGACAGGATTTCTGTGTTA